GCACTACCTCACTGAACAGGTTTGATTAAGTTTTAGATTTCAACAAGATGATCTAAACCATCGTTCCCAGAATCCACAGGGCTGTAGATTTTTAATAGATAAAAACGAGTCATACCTCTTAGTTTCTCCCTCACACCAGGATAAACGTCACCTTACTTTCACTATGACTAAATGGCAGAGGTTTATTTCGTGTTTGAAAAAAAGAAAAAGGTTCAAGTTGAACCCTTCCTGTGACTCTGATTATTTTTATTTTTTTAAGTTCCTTAATAGCTTTTTCCCCTGGCTGATATTCATCATACCTCTGTGCTACAACCTCATATATATGCAAGCTGTCCAGGCTTACATCCATCATGGACAACACCTCTGCACTCTGTGACATACTTGACACCCAGTGCAATAACTATATATTTAAACATCCATCTATATAAATACCCATGTAAACAACCTGTATAATGATCCCATCATATAAAAAAAGAAAAGCTGTCATATGTGGATGCACTGTATCCCGCATGCACCTTTTCTTCCTTAGTCACTTTCTTCCTCTCCTTTGATTATTTGAGCTAATGTAGCGAGTAAATTTCTCCACTGCGAGATCAGTAAAGTCAAATCAATCTGTGCCTATAAGATGCCAAACAATTCACAGAACTTCCCCTTTCCTTCATGTTGGCTTTTTCTTTAAAAAAAATAAAATAAAAAATCATCCATTTCAAACTTGCCATGGAAGAGGAAATCCTAGCAGTATTTTGATCAACTTTACAGTACCATGGGAGGATGTTTGTGCCGTTTGGAGCCATGTGTGCTGCTAACCGCGCGTTCCTGCACACGTTCTTTCAACTTGTTGATACCTTTCATGCACATATCTTACAAATGAAGTAAGAAGGAATCATTAGCACAAATTCTGAAATCTAACCGACCCAGTTACCTTTTTTTCTGAAGCCAACAATTCATGCTGCAGCTATTGTGAAATTATACCAAGATCTATGAATAGCTGCATGGTCAGGGTGTTGTCTGTAGCTATTTGTGTGCTGAAAGGTCCCGTCTCTAGTAAACAACATACATAGGATTCCAATAGGCTTCAAGTAATATAAAGAATCCCCCTAAACTACAGAGAGAAGTTTAGTGCATGCTAAAATAAGTCTGAGAATTCCCACGCTAGCTTCAGCGATTAAGAGGCAGATAATGTTCTTGATGCACCCAGGATGACCTCTCCCATGATCCTGCAGAGACCAGTTAGTCTGCAGGATTTTCTACACTGCTGTGCTTAAGGATCAGCTAAACCAATTGATCTTTTAGTGCAATACATTTAAATACTTGGTACAGTTCTCCAAGAGAGAGCTTTTTATATTTCCTGCTTCTCACTGTCTATGTTATATTATATCCAGTCCAAGGTCACAGTTTTAGGTTAGATTCTAGCATTATTTTGTTTCATTATTCATAATAATAAAAAGAAACACGGCACCCATGCCTTACCATCATGGAATGCTCCCTTAGCTTTCCCATTTTTATGTGTGACTAAAGGAAACAGCCCTAATGTAATATCGCTAGAATAACAGCATAAAAATGCATTCATATACTTTGGGGAAAATGTTTAAGGGGCTCATAATTGCAAGTTCTATTCTATCTTGCTTACCTGGAATATATCAGTGCACCCATGAGCAAGGCACTTCGTTGCAAGTTACCTTTAGAGATGTGCTTGGTATGAATAGGTGAACTAAAGCTCCATAATGTCACCATATATTAAAGTTATGCTTGGATGTAATAAACAACAAAATGTGTTGCAATTGGTCAAGCTGTATGTACATTATCATGTCAGTTAGATTTAGCGACGGTACATGCAACCCAGAGACTTCGAGAGGGAAACCAGATTTTTATAAATGCATTCAGGTCACAGTTGATCAGCTACGTTAAGTAAACATTCACTTTATTTTTATATATGACATATGTGGTTCAATCTCCTCTATAGCACTTGTCTTTCTTTTTAAAAAAGTAAAAATAAATAAAAACACCTAAAACTAAATTTAACAAGTCAATTTGATTCTGTTTCCATCAACCTCTTCCAATGCAACACTTCCAAATATGCAATAGAAAACCACTGATAAAAACATGTCTAATATAAATTTAATACAAAAAAGCTGCCTAAAATACTTTCATCCGGGTTGCTTTTACAATGAAATGAGGTTTTTCCAGATATGAAGGTCTTAAACCATGTTAAAAACTGCTGAGAAGGTCATGAAGCTAAGTTAATCCTATTGTGAAGGAGAATCTAAGTCATCTTTAACAACCTAAAGACAAAAATTCCTAGAAACCAAAGAACCAGCCTGGCAGATCTTTCCAAGAAAAATTTTAAACCAAACGTCCTCTGATGAGGAGGAACTTCAAACTAAAAGACACTTCTGTTTTTGGAATTAGGCAGCGAATCTTTACCATTGAAATTAAATAATTAAAGCCCCACCTGACCCAGAGCTTAATTCTGGAGCACACATTACACAAAACTAAACATACATAAAATAAAAAAAAATAAAAATGGTGAAATAAAAATATCCTTGCCCTTATGTAAAATTAAATTTACATTTTTTGGTGTGATCATAGAGGCCTACGGTCTTAGGGTACAGAGAAAAAGCTCAATCATATGGTCCCCATCAGTTCCCCTGAGTGCTTTATGTAAACAAAATGTCGAAGCCGTTACCTGGAAGTGGAAGATGCCTGCATATCCCTGCTGGAAGCTCTGTCCATGAGGGACCACTCTATGGAGGAGGTTATCATTGAGGGTCAGTGAGGCGATGGCTGCCAGCAGCCAGCAGTCTCCTGCAGAAACAATCACACAACACCAAACTAAATTAATTCACCTTCCCTCCAAAAGCTGGATTAGGTCAGAAGCTCCAACGATCTGGCTAAAGTACTGGAATTCAATGTTATAAAAAAATAATCCTCGTTAAAGCTGCTAAGACTGTTAGGCTTAGCATGATACTTCTGGCATCCACTGGCTCAGATACACTATGAGTTTAAATATGAAAAGTATTTACAGCTTTTTACAACCATAACATTCCTGATTATTTGTGCTAGATCCAAACAAAGTAGTACCCAAATACAAAAAATAAAAAAAAATCTTGATAATTATAAATATTTTACAAATATAAAACTAAAAAGAGTTTGTTTGTAATGAATGGAATTGCTTTCATTTCCCATAAGTAGACTCCATTAGTGAAGAAGTTCATGGGGTGGGAAAACTTTTGTGATGCAGTGCAGTGCGGGTTTTTTCCTAAAAAGGGCGTTCTGGTTCTGGAAATGGGAGTGGTGCTGAGCTTCAGATTAGAGCTGAAGCCTGGAACCACCTTAAGTCAACATTAGCAACAATCAGAGCCACCTTCAGCTACAGAAGCCACTTCTGCTCAATCTATGCAACAGCTTTTCTTTACAGCTCAAGAATAACCAACGAACCACGACAGGCAAACATGCCGGCTCATGTTCTTAACAGAAATCTTTGATACGCTCTCTCGAATTGCTGATATGTTGCTGAACAACTTCTTTCTTTAATATAACCTGTTGATTATGTCCCAACTGGTGTCGTATCTTGGTTTTGTTGAAGCCCAAGTTAAATCCCAAACACTTATGGAATGATTGCCTGGGGGTTGGCGGCCTGGTGGTTAGGGCATAGAGCTTGGAAACCTGAGGTTGTCAGTTCAAAATCCACTCCAACAGACTGCCACTCTTGGTCTCTGAGCAAGACCCTTAACCCCTGATTGCCCCCCCCAGGCGCCCAACAATGGCAATACCACTGCTCCCCAAGGGGTTGGGTTAAATGCAGAGGTAAATTTCTCCAATGTAAGATTAATAAAGATCATTTATTATTATTATTATTATTATTAAACCACCTGTTTAGAGAGGCTTTACTAAAGAGTTTCATCAGATATAGAGATCGTTTCTCACAAGGACACTTTTAAACAGAGGGAACGTTAGAAAAAAGGAAAAGTACATTAAGCTTAGATGAAGTCTGAATGGAGCATTTCAGTTATAAACTTAAAAAGGAAGGTCTCTCTGTAACCTGCTGTCTTAAAAGAAGGTCATTTAGATCAAATCAACTATTCAGTCAGGAGGAACATGATCTGGCTGTTTTCACGTATGGGCAGTTTCTCAATTCACAAGAACATGAGTATGGACACATGTCCTCGCCAAGTATGTTCTTGAGCAGAACACAGGAAAGTGTGGACTTGGGGAGAATGGGAGTACGCAACGTAATATGGGTCAATTGACACAGAAGTGTACTCGTGAAGTCACCACATGCTTGGCTCACCTGTAGCTGCAGATATCTCCAAATAATAATAATTTCTTACTATAAGATAAACAGAAATCAAATGAACATCTTGGTCTGCTGCAGCCAGTCTAAGATTAGACCTGGCTGACATTATCCATAGAGGTCCGCTGGTTTAATTTTTTTAAATTACACATTAAATCAATAAATAGGCCATTTAGTGATGCTTAAAACTATAACATTCTCACCTCAAGTTATCTTAAAACATACTTTTATTGAACAACAGGAACAGAAAAAAGAACTTTTAACTTAATACTCTGAACTCTGTTGGTGCTCCGTTGAAAGCTGCTGCTGCCGCAGTGCATGCTGGAACAGCTGTCAATCTCAAGAACGGACAAGTCTGCTCTGATACATGCTTGGTAAATAGTGAGGGGCGAGAACAACATCCGGGGACCTTGTCCATTCTCAGTCTGCTGTTCTTGTAGTACATACACCAGGCCTTTGGCGGCGCCGTGATGCTGCCATAGAATTGTACCAAAACCACAGACAAAGCCAGTGGGAATGATAAGAGAAGTCCTTGACACGAGCGACCCTGATTCGAGTTCGACCTGTGGTCCTATCTCGCATTTCTCTCCCACTCTCTCATGCCCCATTTCCTGGCAGCCTACTGTCGAAAAATAATAATAAGCCACTAGTGATGTAAAAAGCTAAAAATATATAAATAAATAAATAAATACAGCAATATGAAAGTAAAGACCAGCATTGGGTTAGAACAGTAGGTTGAGTAACAAAAAAAAATGTTGTACTCTGGGACCTGGTTTAAAGGATTATTTTTAATCTTTTTTAAAGTTGTAGGGAAACGGCCGTTCCAACTGTTGCTATTCTGTATTCTCCCGAGTGGTGCCCGACTTTTGTTAAGTGAATAAAGTGAATCTTATTGGTCGTTTATCAAGAGGGTGGGATTATTGTGTTGGTTCACAAGCAAGTTTGATTGTGACCAGTTTCATCGAAGCATCTTGCTAACCAATTAGCAACTTAGTGCTAGTAGGTTCCCAGTGGAATTTCCCATTTGGAACCTACTAGCACTGAGACCAAGTAGCACTAAATTGGTGACTTAGAAATGACACTGTCAAGGAACGCTATGGACAGCGGAAACATGCAAGAGGAGGAGAGTTTAATGTCGGAGGTCGTGGATGAGTCTCCTCCGTCATACATTTTTTATTTAGAGGAGGAAAGCGGAGACAAAGATGTTGTGGAAGAGGACGCCATGGCGGCAGAAGCTTGGTTAGGAGTAGAAGCCCTTGCCTCTCAACACTGCCAGTTCTGTTAGCTCAACGCCTGCCGAAGACACAGACGTCCATCCCCTTGAACACTCGGATGGAACTCAATCAGAAAGGAAATTATTCTTATTCTTATTTCAACTGTTGCTTATATTAGCTGCGACATATGAATCAAGATGCTATAAACCGAAAAAATTTGATTGACAGATGACCGTTGATATATGATTGGCCGAATTTAGGTGTACAAGCTGACGTATAACTAATGGAAAAAACACAGATTTAAGACAGGTTTTTTTTTTTTTATAGAAATTTCCAACATTTTGGGACAATATAGTCTGATAAAGAGTACATTTGTATACATGTTGAGGCCAGAATGATTTGACATTTAAATATGATTTCCCTATGATTTTAAAGCAAGCTCTCTGCTGTCAAGGCTTCACCTGCCTTGGGAAACCAAACTAATGAAAGTCTATTTGGCATGGGGTTCACATTTTCACAGCATTTCCCTTGCAAATAAAGAAGGCAATATGTAATAAATATATATTACAAAAAGGATTTAAAAAAAAATTAAAACCCCGAAAAAAAAAAAAAAAAAAACATGCATCTGCACTGTCACCCACACACGCCATATCAGCATGATACCATTGTAATTCTAAAAGTTTGAGTATAACCAGCGGCTCATATAGTGGGCCTGATTTTTGGTGACTTTTTCGTCAAAAAAAAAAAAAAGTCACAGTTTCCATCCCTTTTTTCTCAGTGTATTTCAGTGCAACGGGCCGTAACGCTGAAACACACCGGCAAGATCTCTGATATCTAAACTCGCCTCCACATGTTTTCTTAATAGGAAAAGCAAAAAAACACGTTCGAGTTCCGAATGAATAGAATTCCCACCAGCTCTTTCTGCCTCTGTAGGAGGACTTCAGTTCTTCTTTCATTTCCACCATATAAAGTGAAAAAGAACCTAGTATTTAATTTATGAGTTTACATTTCTTTAAAATGCAGCAGCCAAAAAGAAGCACACTATATCATATTATCGATAACATTGCTATGATCCAAACTGCATTCTTCTCCCCTTCTAATAAACATTAAAAAAAATAAACTAACACACCATCATGTTGATAGAGCTATTGCTTCCATTCACCCCACATATTATGGTATAATGTTTTTTCCATAGTTAGATTTATAGCTAATAATTTAATATCAATTAGCAATGCACTATTTTATTGCAAAAGTTAATGCCACTAGCAATTATGTAAACCCTTTAATTTATTTTAAACAGAAAGCACTCTTAAACCATCCGTGTTGCATCTATCAAGGGGAAACGAATAATCTGGAGCCAAATGTGAATCTGACCATAAGACTAGACTGATCTGACCTCAGTAGTATCAGGATCCAACTCCTCATGAACAGACTATCCTGTTTGCTGTTAGATGACATATATAATTTGGCTCTATAATAATAATAGACTGAGCTGATGGTTTAAGCAATTTAGTTTGACGTACAGCAGTGTTTATGTTTCTCATCACACTTCTAATAAGCGTTTAAGATTCTACATTATTCAATGTTCTCTGCAGCCGAAGGGAAGGAAGGAAAGCTTCACCAATGACTACATCAGTACCAGAGGGCCCCTTGCAAACTTAAGCTGTGATTTTAAAGTCTATCGGATTGTCTTACACTTTGTCCTTTTCCAAGTGTGTAAATAATTGTGAAAGAACAGAAGGATCGGACTCACCCAGAGCTCCCTGACAGATGTCTGTGCGAGTTGCTCCGTCTACAATGAACTCCGGCCGCCTGCATAACTCCTGTGGAGAACAAATAATTCAACAATTTTTTTTTAAATGTAATGCTTTGAAACCGTGATGAAAATAAGATCAGATATTCCAAAAGGCGCAAAGCTTTTTTTTTTTTGTTTTTTTTTGGGTTTTTTTTCTCTTCCCTTTTAACCCAGAAAGTTAATTTTTATACTAAAGATAGTCTGATGTATTAACAATACACCCAACTCCATCTGGTTTATAAGGATATGAGGGTGGAAACGGCTTTAAATTTCAGAGGATGTTGTACCCAATTATGAAAGCTGTGACCAATTTTAAATCTAGAAGTTGTTCTTCAAGTAAAGGTCGGCATGCAAGTTTTGCAGCTTGCAAAAGGAAATCCTGGGGGGAAAAAAGTTAAACTAAAGCTAATAATGCCAAGATAAAATCTTTGTTTCATTTTTAATATCTGTTCCAACACCTGGTTCAGTGGAACTAAACATTTCCCCCCCAATGGATCTGTGAAGTGTTTAGCATGAAGTCAGAGAGAAAACTGTATTTTCTGCTTCATAGCTGTAGTTGATTCTGGCTGCAATCAAGCCAGAGAGAGCAAGACTTCAGTGGACAACATGAAGGCTGAAAATACAGTAAACCTGTGACTTTTTTTATTTTTTTCACTTTTAAGCTATTTACTTACATCTGTTCTGACACATGGAGGATTTTAAAATGTCATGTAGTTATCAATTTAGTTATCAAGATCCTTCATAGAATACACAAGGAAGCAGCTTTTTACTAATGCTAACTGCTAATATATAAAGCAAAAGAAAGGCACTTAGCCACTTGGATACAAAGACAAAATCATTAATATGTACTGTCACTGGGGGGGTGGTGATGGAGCGGACTAAGGCTTTCATATTTAAAGTGGACTTGACAGGTTTTGATACCAACCAGTTGCCCTTTGCTGCATACCTCTCCCCCCTCCCTAATCCAATTTCCTGTCTGCTTACTTTCAAAAATAAAATAAAGGGCACTAGTATAAAAAAAAAAAAAAAAGATAAAAATCAAAATTGGCTAGTCAAAACTTAAAAAAACATAAAAAAAAAAAAAAAAAACACCACAAGAGCTTCAAAAATATAAAAACAAAAAAATAGTACCAGAACATACCAAAAAAAAAATAATTAAACAAAGGATTAGACTTAAAGAAAAATATATTATTGAATTGTTTATCCATTTGTTGTATATTTGCATCCTCTCTACTTGTTTTGGGGCGGCTGTTAGCTTCACACATGAGGCAAAGCCATTACCATCCATGAGAAAGAGAACACCATTACGCCATAATACCACCTTCACCAGCCTCAACCGTTGTTAAAAAACGCAGGATTCATGTTTCCATGTTGGCTAGGCCAAATTCTGACCCCATCATCTAAAGTTTGCAGCTTAAACTCATTCCAGATCGGGCAACATTTTTCTCCTGATCAGTTCTTGTTCCATTTTGTAGAACCTTTCAAATGCAGCCTCAGTTTCTCAGCTTAGCTGATATGACATAAAAGGTCAGTGCCTAATGAAAGACTGACTAATTTATTCCACTTAGTCATAACGTTGTGGCTAATCAAGAAGGACGCTGGTTAGCAATCAGTGACAAACAACTGAATCATTAGCAGAGGAAGGCTGAGAGCAACAAAGAGCTCCAACAACCTATTTAGGATGACAGCGAGACATCAGTTTTTATAAAAAGATGTCAAAAAATGCATGACTACCCTGACCCAGTAACCATCCTTGGCCATCCAATGCCATATGAAACATTAAACTTTTTGAGTAGTTGAGAGCACTATTAGAGTCGGCAGTCTTGGATAAGTTGATGACATATTAATGACCATCCAATTTTAGTCGTCAACCAACTGTAAGGAAAGCTGCAGGAGGCGATAAAAAGCTGCAGTCACGTCCGTGCAATCACAACCACAGGGACACGGATCACAGCTCTTCACAGACTATTACTGAAACAGTCACGATATGTAGAGGAGCTGCTGTGAGCGTGCCGTGCTTTCTTGATGAACTCACTGCAGGGAGAGCTCTGGTGTTTTATGAGGTGGTAACCTGGGATGAGGGACTGAAACAGACAAAGGAGCAAATCAATGCAAGGTGGGTGAAAAATACAGGGAGGATCCTGCAGACTGCCTAAACTAGAGGAAATAACTGCCACCTGGGTTTGCCTGTAGCCCCAATCATTCAGGACTGAATGTGTAGTTGCCTGGCAACAGATGAAAATTATGACTGTGGGCAAAGGTTGCTTCAGAGGAGGGGGGTAATCAAATAAAACTGGGGGAAACTTAACTACAAAAACTGCTATAAAGTCATTATCTGCTCTCTGTCACACAGAGGAATGTTCCCATCTGTGCTTCATTTGTTGGTTTCTCCAAAAAATAGAAACTTAAGAGTTTTTCAGCCTGTCTGTAGGCTTTTTAAAGACAGTGGTTTATTTCCACATACCAAGCACAGATTAGAGCAATCGTTACAAGTGTTTCACCGATACAGATACCGGACGGGGCCCAGATCCAGCACTAAAATGGTGGTATCGGCGAGTACCAACAATAAGGGCACCATTACCATTTTGAGAGCCATTTATTCAACTATTGCCACCCATTCCAGGTAAGCAATAAAAAAGTTCTACTGGATTCACTTTGTATTAGTCTTTGTCCTGCCAAACAAAGGTAGGCAGCAGCTTGACAAAGCCATGATGGCAAATATTTAACATCCAAGTAGTATGCAGTTCTTAATATATGCACACACACAAGTGCACAGCCAGGTATCGGGGCCAAAAAATGGCATCGGTGCAACACTAATCGTTACCTTACATTGCTTAATGCTTCTTGATTTGAAGGCTGGGTTTTTTTTAACAAGATAATAACTTAAACTTAGGGCCATGTTGAATACGTACTTTTAGATTTGAATTCATCAGGGTATAAGCTTTAACCAAGCAGTCAGTATCATGATTTTTAATCAACAAATGACCACCTCATCTACAGAGCCTTGTTTTCTACTAGGTTGCTCGAATGCCCAAAAGAAAATGAAGGACAAATTAAAAAGTGTGGCTAAAGCATGGGTATCCATCCTCTGTTAGTATCAAACCATGTAGATACAATGATCTATAGCAGCTCTGCTCAGATAAGGGAAATCTCTGTTATTTTGGCCCCACAGGCAAAAAGCTATCTGTTGTAAAACTAGCAGTGAACACATAACCTCAGCTAAAATGGACATTTCAGCATTAAGCTGTGGGGATGGAGATAAATGATGGGGAAATATGAAAGAAAACGGGTTGAAGGGTGGATTATGAGAGTACAGATTGGGATTGGTTCACCTTCCAGCTGGACGTCAACTAAAACAGAACGGTTTAGATTAAAGATGCTTTCAAAAGTTAGAATGATCCCACTGGTGTAAATAATGGGTACCAACCATATGCACCAAAGGGGGCACCGACGGGACAAACGCTAACATCTCTGCCGTCTTTAAATTCAACAGCTGTTTGTATTTTTTCCATGCAATTTGATCAATATCAGAGGCAAGTCACCCCCCCCCAATCTTTATTGAAGCAGCCAGGTAATTCTTCAGTCAGTTTATCAAATATGGGTTTGTAATTATAAACTACAGTTAGTAAAATTACAGGTTACTTTTGTCTTCAAACTGTGTCGGGAAGAACAAGGACCTAATTTAAAGAGAAAAGAAAAACCAAGTGTATTCTAGAGCTGCCCTGATCTTTACTGAAGAATACATTTTAATACAATTAAAAAGTAGTGTTGCACCGATACCAGTATCGGACGGGGCCCCGATACTGCCCTAAAATGGTGGTATCGGTATCGGCGAGTACCAACAAATAGGGCACAGATACCGTTTTGAGAGCCATAAGTTTATTCAACTATTGTCACCCATTCCAGGTAGGCAATAAAAACTTTTATTTTTATTATCCAGTAGAACTTTTTATTAAAAAGTTCTACTGGATTCACTTTGTATTAGATTTTTTTCTGCTTCACAAAGGTAGGCAGCAGCTGGACAAAGTTATGATGGCAATCATTTTACATTATTATGGTATCGGTATCGGCCGATACTGCACAGCCAGGTATCGGGAATCGGTGCCAAAAAATGGTATCGGCGCAACACTAATTAAAAGGATTATTCTGCTTTACTTTGCATTTGTTATACTGTTGGTGGTTTTCAAAATTATGCTCAAACCGATGCCATTTAAAGCGAGGGTTTGCGACCCTCTACCATGGCCCCTATTATAAATAAACCAACTAATGGTTAGTATAAACATAGTATAATAGCAAAGGCCAGTCTTTGGCAGGTTTCTTGAAGAGAATATGAATTTAATTTTCACTATAGAATGACATTTAAATGTCCAGAAACATATTTATAGATCTAGTTTTCTTGTCATTCGCTTTAAAATGGCCACTTTTTTGTTCTCAATTTTTATTAGTTCTTTTGTCTGCATCAAATAAGATCTTATAAAAAAATAAATAAATCCATGCTACCTTAATATGAAACATTAAATTTTTTTTCGCTTGTATTAAAACCTAAAAGTAAAAAAATGAAATTAAATATTGGTTGCTAAAAATGGCAACAGACATTTGATAAAATAATAAGTTGTGTTTTACTATAAGGTTATGTAATATTTGTGTCTCTATACACTTTTCATTTAGCTGGACTAGAGGAAAAATGGCTTTTTGGATTTTAGAGGTTGCAGGCCTCTGGTTTAAACAAACCATATGTTTTTGTTTTTTTAGCCAATAAGGTTAGCATGTATCACAGTTACCTTAACTAGGTTATTAAATACATTTACAAGCGCATCTTTTTTTTAAATAGCCCCATTAATGGGGACAGTAGCAGTGGCAACAGCTGTTTCTACTGTATTAACATTTGTGCCAGGGTTGGCTTGTTTGACTGCGACTTGGATTGATGGTGACATGCGGTTGTGATCTAAGTATATTTAATCTAGTTCGGCCGCAAAAAAACAGATACCCAGAATGGTCTAAATATCTGGTGCTTTGGAATTCACAGAGAAGTATTACTGGCAAACACGGCAACGTAATCATTCCAGAAATTATGGGACAGAGTGGTGCAGATTAGAGATAATGATTGTGCACAAAAAGTATTTCATGAAAGATTTTTTTATGTGATTTTCCGGTGAATAAATATGATTATTAGATGTAAAAATGTAAAAAAGAATGGAAAAAAAAAAAAAATCTGTTATCCCAGGCAGGGGAAGCTTGTATGTGTCCACATTGCGTTTAGAAGGCAGGTAGTGGGCTCTATGCACAACTGCACTACTTGCTTAATTTCAGCAGCTCCTTTGTTTTCTGTCTTTCATTAATGGACAAACTGATTAGTCCAGACATGTCTAACTAATGTTCTCATGGTTACTGAGGTCAGACACATCTGGCTGATGTGCAGGAATATGTTGGGTTGTGCATAGAGCCCGTTTACAGCTATAGAATAAGTGTAGGAAAAGCTACAATTAATGGAGTATACAGATCTAATATGTTTAGAAACCTATGTATTTAGGGGGGTAAGTGTTTTATAAATAATAAATATTATTTCTCTTTTATTGGCTTGTCTCTGAAAACCAAAGAAATATTTCTGCATGAAATCTATAAGTGATAAATAGTTTTGTACCAGACCATCTAGAAACAACAGCAATTTAAGGTTCAAAGTCTCCTAACTCCCATATCACTTTTATTCTAAAGCTCATTTTGAACTCTAGCATGTTTGCCTAAATGCAATAAATTGCTGCCATGCAAATGTCAGTTTGCATTAGCAAGCATTTGAGCTGTTTTACTTAATAGAATTGTTTGAGTATTGGTTTCCATTATCAAATACTAAAGACCTGCACTTGCAAAAGAAATGACCTGGTATGACCCCGTCACCGTCTGGAACTCAATGAGTGTCTAAAGCGGGATTTGAAAGTTGACATCAAGAAACGTCTGACATCAAGTCTGAGCTATTTTTTGCTTGGAGGAATTATACAAAAATGGGACATCTTTATGGATTGCCATGACCGTCGGTTCTGTTTAGTACTGACTGAAAGACGCCCAATTCAAGTGTGCATCTGAATTCTCTAGATGCTTGACTTTGAAGCTAAAAATAATGCCCCAAATTATTTGTAACCACTTTGTTTTTTAATGCTTCTGCAAAACATTCTGCATATGCCATTTAAAAAGTAAACTCATTATAGTCGTTTGCTTTATAGAGCCATGGATGACAACTATAGGATGGGACTTTAAGATTAAACTAATGCCTCATCAACTGAAGCAAACCTCTTATACATCATAATACATCCACAACAACACAATAACGATCGATCCTGGGTTTCTTACCGTGGGCCTCATCCAGCGTACTCCGCTGGTCTTGGAGGACCTGGGTCCGAGCTCGTCGTATCCCAGAGACGACGTGGTGCAGGGGAACATGCTGTCCTCAAACAGCTTCCCGCTCCGGAGGCACTGCGCTTTAAGAGACTCGTAGTTCTGACCCAGAAACTTCACGGCGTTGTCGTTCTGTCCGAGGCCTTGCTCTCGATCCCACTGACTCCTGAGCTTGGCGGCCATGCCTGTGGCATAAATTGGAGCCTCCACCATCCTGACAGTCGACTTAACTCTCTTCTGGTAATTTAAAAGTACAATAGGATGGTAAAACGCACAAATTATTCAGGAGGCAGCTGTGACCTATTGCTTCAACAGCTTTTTATAAAAAAAAAGCACTCTGGCAGCTCTTATGTAAATGTGATGAACTGCTGAAATTGCTTCCGGACTAAATCATAAATTAAAAGGAACCACAAGTTGCCATTAGGAAGATATTAAGTATTGATGAGAGGAGGATTGCTGGAAGTGATAACCACCAATACAGGATCTCCACTGGGTCCTCACACCAGATCTCAGCAGCAACTACAAGTATGTAGATAGGATTATGTTCTCCAGCTGTCAGGTGGTCCTTTTGGCACAAGGAGATACAATCTAGAATAAAAAGAAAAAGGGTAGAAGAACGTGAGTTCAATGAGAATGAGGAGAAACAAATCTCAACACAATAAAAAGCCATTATGAACACATTTTTCAGAAGTCAGATGAGTTTCCCTTTCTTGCATTCTTGCTCAACATGCCTTGAGGGATTAGACACAATAGAGGAATCTGTGAACAAAACGTTTGATCAGCCTCTCTGGGTATCCAGTCCGAACATGACAGATGTGCTCTGTGAGAAACGCAGTGCACAGTGAACCAAGCATGGCAACAGAACAAGCCGAAGCTCTTTCATAGAGCAGAACTATGAAGCGTTATTGGAGAACATCTGACTGAACTGGAGCTACGAAAAACACAGCTTAGATTCACCTTCCCAGCTTTTCTCTCAGACTGACAAAGAACCACCTTGGTTTTTCATTTTGACTTTCACATTGCTGTCACAGCTGCAGCAGTTTAGTATAAAGCAGCTACTACAGGCGAACACATAGCTTTGTCTGTCAACAGTTTCCACCACTAGCTGTCAGCCACACCCATCACAGTGACAGTTTTAGAGAGAGAGAGATTCCTGTGAGCTGGGGCTTCAGCAGCACGTTTTTTACCTCTACAGTTGCTGGTAGAGATGAAAAGCTAATACAACATTCCCACATATTCATGTGAATAAAGCAGCTAAAAGTCCCAATTTTAGAGGTTGTACAAATCAGGAAATGTTAAATTGAAGGACCCATATTTATTATCAGAAAACAATGAAGCAAAAACACAACTGGACGTCTATAAAAGTAGAAGTTTTGCCTTTTTCCTAGCCTAGAAAATGCAGGTTAGTGCTAAATCCAACAGCATATTGTAAGGACAACATCAGATGGCTGTAGAGATAAAGCCATTCTTGGTCATCAATCTATGAAAGGTTATATGGTTGTTTCCAATCTATTTAAAAATATTCTACAGTGAAAAGAATTGAACACTAACCAAAACATTGTCAGGTCATAGTAAAAATGACTGTTGGTGAAAGGGCCAAACAAAACGCCTCATACCAACCTGTCAAACACAGACTGGATCCATGTGGTCAAAGTTGGAGGTTAGGACTGTTCTCACAAAAAAAAAAAAAAGGTTGGTTTTTGCTCAACGAGTTCTGCACAGCCAAATTACATCATTTTGGGCTTCAACGCCCCTCAATGCAGCGTTTGAGTGCACAGAATTTCTACACCACACACCTAGCGATTTCTACAACTTCAAGCTGCGTTTACTACTTCCTGTAGTGTCTTTTTGGCCACTGGAACCAGACACAACGGTGGGATATGCAGGGAAAAGATGCAAGGAGTATAAATTCTGCAATGTTCCGTGAAAATAGGGGGGTCAAATAGAGTTTTCCAGTGTTTCAAAAATACAGAGCAAATAAATTAACCCTCTGCATTTAACCCAACGGGATTGGTTAAATGCGTTGGGGATGAATGGGCTTCCATTGTGCGATGTGGGAGCCTAGGGGAGCAATTTTGGGGTTAAGGGTCTTTTGCTCAGGCAGTGGCAGTATGTGGAAGTGGGACTCGAACTCAGAACCTCAGGATTCCAAGCGCAATGCCTAGGCCACCACTCCCCAAACCAGGCTTTAACACCTAATTGCACCTCATTGCACCCAGGCTTCCAGTTATCTGGACTGGTTACTTACCACTTGAGCTAACCAGCCGCTAATGAGCGTTTCACAGCAACACCAACCAAGAATGTTTAAACCTCCAGTCCAGCTAAAGTCCTTACGTTGATTATCGGGTAAAAGAAACTTTGTACACCTCATTTAAGTGAATACATGCTTAGTAATGACTCAAAGCCATAAAAATGGAGTCATTGGAGCTATTAAATCACATTAGACTTCATAGCATGACAATGTTGCCTAATTGTGATCAAGAAGTAATGGCAGTGTGAACACTTGGAAGTATTAAACAATTTTAGAATTTAATTCAAGTTTGTTGAATGAAGGCAAATAACAGAAATTACTCTCAAAAACTAGATTTGACTGCAGTCATTCCTTTTGGGAGTAGACCAGAAGAGTCAAAAGGCCCATTTACACAAGCGTTTTGAACCCTGCCGATAATGGGTCGAGCACGGCAACCCAGATAACTGTTGAGTGTAAATGGAAAGCAACTGAACTGACTGTGCCAGACACAACCGAAAAGTTCTATATCAAGAACTAGTTCGACAGTAGGGCTCGGCACGGTTTAGTTGTTTTCAGATAACATTAGGCCCATTTACACAAGCCTTGTGAAACCGTGCCAGGATCGCACAGTAACCAAGATAATTGTTGAGTGTAAATGGCACGCACCAACTGAACCGGACCTTGCCAGACAAAACCGAATTGCGCTAACATGGTACTAGTTCATCAGTAGATGTGGTTCAGCTCTGGCTCAGTTCTCAGATAACAAAGAGAGCATAAGCAGTTTGTGTCATCTCCTTACAGTCAGCCTCTGTAATCATGACATTTCAGACATTTATAAAAATACTAGCTTTTCTACCTTGTCACATGGTTTCCAGTGATGATTCTGCTTAGCAGTGCGATGAACCTCAACTCCGTCGTTTCCTGCATCTGTAAGCCCTGATTAGACTATCGGTTTTCATATCCACTATCCAAAAGACGACTGTCAAGTTAAATCACCAAAAGCTGCCCTCTTCAGCTGACTCTCTGCAAACGTCCTGAACGTTACGGACGCCGCCATGCTGATTTTCTTGTTTCCGTCTAGAGAGCAGTACTTTAGATCATCACTAGGAGGCGAGGAGCGATGCTAGCGTGGTGTGTAAATGTAAGGAACAGAGCTCGGCACCAATGGCGCAACTATCGGTTAGCAGGGATTGCAGTTGCTTAGGTTCGCCAATGTGTTAGTGATGATGGATACCAAAAAGAGTATCATATGGGGCCCACCCAGATAATGTAGCTTACAGACCTATTGTTGTGTTGTTACGCCATTGCTCGGCATTGTTAACTGATCCAAGCTTGTCACGGATCGGTTTTCAGAGGGTAGTGTAAATGGAACTAAAGATCACATGACCAGACCTCATCATCTCCCATTTACAGTCAGCTGACTCATTTCAAGGGTTTTCCGGCATGTCCAGCTTTTTAATTCACAAATCTCTTCACCTTTTCACAACATGAACTCCTTCTCAGCCTATTAACAATAAATGGCATCAAAAGAGTGTGGTGCACCCTGGGACGATGCCGAGACCGAGGCTCTCAGTGAAATTTGGTCGGAGGACGCCATCCAGGCACATTCGTTCCTGAATGTTATGGGCGCCACCAGTTTTGTTTGTGTAATTCCCGCCTTGAGCTGTAGTATTGTGGACCGCCAATAGGAGGTGAGGAACTGTGCTAGCGTGATGTATGAATGGTCATAAGGACCAAGCTCTACACCAGCGGTCCCCAACCACCAGGCCGTGGACCGGTACCGGTCCGTGGGTCATTTAGTACCAGGCCACACAGAAAAAAAAAAAAAAATGATATGTTTTATTTTGAAAAATATAAAAATTGGGGTATTCTCTCCCAATTAATTCAGTTCAAGACTCATCCTATCTTTGTGAAGTGGGATTTTCTGCGGTTACAGTGACCAAAACAAAGCTACGGAGCAGACTGGCTATCAGGAGCACACTTCGTCTGTCATTTTCTCCGATTACGCCTAGATGGGACCTGCTTGTTGTTTTATTTTTATGCTGTTTGCATTTGATTTTATGCCAGTCGTATCATTTTACCGGTACTTGATCGTATCCTCCCCCCAGCCGGTCTGTGAAAATATTGTCTGACATATAGCGGTCCGTGGTGCAAAAAAGGTTGGGGACCGCTGCTCTTTACGGTTAGCTGGTGCAAGCTCGGTCCAAACTTGGCACGGATCGGTTTCAGAGGGGTAGTCTGAAACAGACAAATTACAGTCTTAACGGAGAAGGTTCACATCTCCACAGGTTTAAAAAAATAAAATTATACAAATTTAAAAAACTGTTTCTGTGGCCGTAAATTTAATCAAAAGTCAGCATATCAGCTAGTGTAACCACCGTCCGTTCTGAAATGCCCTGATGAAGAAGCCCTAATCTCTGCCATGGGGTTTATATACACCCATAAAAAAAATAATAAAAAAATTTAATAAATGTGAGCATATCAATAATGATTGTCCTGTAAGGGAGACTTATTTATTTTCTAAGCACAAGACCCCTATGCTAAAATAAGCTTACAAGAGTATCAGTTACAACAAACTTAAAATGCGCTGAACTATGGAAGCCTAAGGAGTGCATAATGTTATAAATAAATATGTCGATTGATAATAAAAATAGTCATCGCCCAGCCCAGTAATACGAGATCTGTATCAAATATTACAAAGACTTTTGACACCACCAGTACATAATATCCTCTGCAAACAAGAAAGAGATTTTCTAAATTTAATAAAATGAACACCTACAAAAAGTTCCGAACTTTAGCAAATTGCCAGTCCTGGTATTTTTTGTTCAACAAAGAACTGCTAAAAGCTATTCTTTTATGCCAGCAGGATACTGGATGCAGCTTATTTTATGTGCCCTCCATGCATAATTTAAGGACATATACAACTATATGGCAGAACATATAGCACTCAGGTGATAACACACCACCACTGGGAAAAATAAGCACGTTTTACTACCAGTGCAGCAGACCATAAGACCAAAAAGGAAGGAGTTTACTTAGATAACACATCTTTGCAAAAAATAAATACAAAGAACCATAAAAGGTAAAACTGAAAAGGTTTCTCTTTATCATACAGTCTCCATTAGAGCATAAAGACCTAATTAGTGAGAACAAATCAGAACACTTTACAAAAACAAAATCCTCAGAAAGAGCTCCATCCAAAATACCTCTAAGAGAAAAATCACATAAAGTGTTCCCTGCTTGACTGGATGGTAAATATTTCATTGCAACACGTCTAGAGGAACTAAATTAAACATGCAAATCATAAATGTCACCCCACTAGTGCAGGGATGCGAAAGACAAACACAATGGAACTGAATTTTCAGGCTGCTCTGCTGCTGCTAGCAGATCCAGAGTGTTTAATATGCAAAAGATATTTTAGTGCTGCCGTCTGAACTGAGAAGAGGTCGTCTGGGTTTATTTTAAAAATCATGGCAGTAGCGTTTAGGAAAAAAGAAGCATCAATGTTCCCGTCTTTAGGTCCAGAGTAGAACATGCAGTGATTTTTCTTATATTTGCTGCATGTTATCAAGCTGAGCTCTTGAAGTTGAATCTGAAAGTATTAAATGTTTGATTTCTTGGCACATGAGAGCCACCATGTCAGACCTCAGTGCAGGTGATGAGAGGTATAGGAAGCGACGAGCGGCAGACAATGTGTGAGAGCAGCTACAGTCAAAGCTGGGAGAAACTCTTAAAGACACAAGCCAAATTTGGAGTTTGCACAGCTTCACTCAAAAGGTATAGTGGAGGATTCATGATTTTTTTTTTTTTTTTTTTTTTAAAGACCCACCCTCTCCACTTAAAAAAAAATGCACATGCACAACCCTGTACCCGCTCCAGAGAGGGTAGTCCTATCAAATAGGTGTGAGATTATACACAAGCCCATTTCTCTTCATGCACGCTCTGTTTAAAAGTTACTTTTTGCATCTCTCATTCAAGCTTACTTTCCAAAAGAAGATTTGCAATTTTTCCACTATGTCAGACTCACCATCGGCAATATCCTCCACTCTACCTTTAAGGGAAGGAAAGCCTTTTATTTTGTCACATCACAGCCACAAACTTCAGTTTATCTGTGGGACAATTTGCTGTCCACGATTCCGTTTCTAAACTGACCAATTCTGCAGCATTCACTCTTTTTAAAACTACCTGAGTCAATAGTTTGTCAAACTAGCTTTTGCTGTGGGTATAGATTAATTGTTATTATTTAACAGGCTCAAAGTCCACATACACATGACAAAAAAATAAATAGCTGTATGTTTTCTGGCGTATCAGGTGTGCACATCTAGGGACAACCAGAGACATCTAGAGATTGATTGAGCTGATGTAACTAGTACATTTCTCCACTTAGAGATCAATAAAGTCAAAGTCAAAGAACAATGTGCCAAAGGAAGAAAAAGGTGCATGGGATATATACAGTGTGTCCACATATGACAGCTTTTTTTTTTTTGTTAGAGATATGCAGCCCTGGACCATAGATTTTTAATGCAATTTTGCTCCAGACTTTGACTAGGCCACTCTAACAAAATAATACGTTTTTATCTAAATCATTCAACTGCAATATTTCCTCTCTTTCTATAAGCTGTAGAGCTTTGAATGTGACAAAATAGGAAAAGGACTGAGGCATGCAAATATTCATGAAAGATTAATTAATTGCACCTTGTTAATAGAAGATAATGAAATAAGCAGATGAATCAATAGATATGTTGATGGGGAAGATCGTGGAAATACAATAACTTCTTTAGATTTAGCAGACTTTGGACTAACTGCCTGTCCAAAGGCAGTTAGTCCAAAGATATGCATGCACAGGTGTATATTATAGCATCATCACATTTAAACAGCCTGGAAATGAGCACTGTAAAGCGGTGCAGTTGATGTGGATCATTTATTTTGACACACTGATCCTGCCTTCAGTTGGTGTTGCAGCTGCTGAAAAAGGAAACTTTATTTATTTATTTTGCAAGAACAAGGAAGGGCAAATTCAGTCAACTAAAAGCTAAACTCACTCTAAACTAAAGTGAAAATGTGTTGTCAGATCTAATTAAAAAAGATAAATAACCCAATAATTAGTAAGAAAAGAAGCTTGTGCAGCAGTTCACAGCTTTCAAAGCCCATCCACATACAGTATCTGTCACTTATTTTGTGCTGATGCATGCATTGAGTCCAGCAGTCATCCTCCTTCCCACTGCAAAGGCAGCATGCAGACAAACACTATGGGAGTGTGAAGTCTCTCCCTCAGGGGTATTTCTGCACGCAGGGCTCAAATTCCAAACACAGATATATCTATGCAATGCTTTGGAGAAAATAGACCTGCAGAGAAACTAGACACTGAAAGATTTTGACTTATCTATATCTAATCTAAAGATAAGAGAATAACAAGTGGGTTTGCAAAGTGGAGATCCTCCTTTTTTTGTTTTTACTCTGAAGCTGACTCTAATGTTTCTTCTAACTTTTCCTGCAAACATGTGGTTAACACAGATAAGGACCACCCTCCCCAGAGGAGACATGTCCAAAGTGACCCATAATAACGGATAAATAATAATCCTGTTTGTTTCAGGGTCACCAAAGAGAACATCCGCTGTGTTTAGGTGAGAAAAAAGAAACAGATCAAAGGAAATAACCCGGAAATATGTGAGCTGTTTTTTTCCTTTAAACTTATTTCTGTCTTTTTAGTTCTTTTATCTGCTGCCATCATAATAATTAAAGGGCAACCGTTAATCTTTACGTAGAGGTGTTTTTAAGTTTTTTTTGTTTTTTTTACTTATAACGAACTTCAAAATCTTCCTCTAAAAGAAGGTAATGATTAAAAAAGGGCGTTTTAAGCTCCGCGTCTTGAAAAATATGAATAACAGGCTGGTTTTTAGTGGATCAAACTTACCTTTCAGTGTATTTTCCCCTTACTGGTGATTAGAGTTCAGTTGGAAAGTCGACGAGTTTTGCTGTGGTCCATGTTTCTAGGAGCTCAGCCCCACCTTCCTGCAAACCTCCAGCCCAAACGCTTTTAAAGCCGCCCTGCCTGCCTGCGCCCCCCTGCGCCGCGCATGCGCACTGCACGCCCATAAAACTACTGGAAGGAATCCACTTTCATAAAGCACAGATTTTTTGTTTTATTCCTTGTTGTAAAATAAGGACAGATCTTCCAAAAAAATAAAAATAAAAAACATTTATTTTTAGAGTGAAGCAAATGATTAGAGTAATGTAAACAATATGCATCCCTTTGGTTTCCATGTTTACTTTTTGTTTGTTTTATCAATAGCAACCTTTTTTATGATATAGCTCCACCCAATGGGTGGCCTGCAATAAATTTATACATTCATCCAGTCATAATCTTTCTCCTATCAAAGATCAGTTAGAGGAGAGAGCCTGGTTGATGACGGTGGGGGTCTATATGTTGGAATGGGAACACTTTGTCCTCAATGTTGATGAGCTAGAAGCAGAAAAAAATAGATGTGTGAGGATTTAAACACAGTTTAGGGGGTAGGATGTGATGGTTAGAAGAGCAAAAGCTAATCTGCAGCTCTTTTAAGGTGGTTCCCTTCTGCTCTAGTAAGGGTTGATTAAAATAGATCCAGAAAAGGAGCAGCAGCTGATGGTGTGCAAGGGTTAATGATGGATATATGATCTGATACAACAGATATGAGATATTATTATTCAAATAGATGATTTTTAAAACATATATATTGATCTTTAAGCCTGTCCTACTATCATAAATGTCAAAATTAATAAATTGAGCTAAATTATCTTTTAAGCACCCGATTCTAAAGCTGGGAGTTCATAAAACGAACAATGGATTTGGCCCGGCATACATGTTAGAGTACATGGGATCATGAATTGGTGGAGCTGTGAAATGTATGGCTAACTTTAGCATTTAATCAGAAAATGGATTAGCCTTTAAGCAAGTTGAGGATTAAAAATACCAATAAAATCATCACAGATTAAGCTCACTGGGTGTAAAATAGTATTTCTATAGAAGTCTCATTTGCTAGAATTCAATAAAAAAGAAACACGTTGGCTGAGGTGAAGAGAAGAAGATGAGAATAGGAATGATCAGTGATTGTACCTCTATATGTGGCAGCCTTGTGAAATCTCAAAAGAAGATGTACATAAAATTATAGCAATTGAGCGTAGTACATTTAATAAAAACAGAGAAAAAAAAAAAGCTAAATAATGCCATAGCATGGATTTGTTTTTCCACCATTAAATACATTATTACAAATGGGAGAAAAAAATTCTGATAATATCATGTAAAAGTTTGAGATAATTTTGTTTTTGCATCCTTTACACGTCTTAATCAGGGTTTTCTTAATAAGGACTGTGGATTTAAGCAATGTTTGCTCAATTTAAACCACAGATAAGACTCAATTTAGTTTAGTTTGATGTTTATATACAATTTTATTTAGTAAAATCAGTAAAAGTTCCAAAAACAGGCTTCGAAAACTTAAATTTAAAGATAAAATCATCAATATAAAAACACTTTCAAGAATACAATCTATATGTAGTATAGTTCTAACACTGACACCTAGAGGCTAAACAGTTTTATAGAACTTATTGATCTCACAATGGAGAAATTTACCCCTTGGGAAGCAGTGGGCTTCCATCGTGGGGCGCATCGTGGGACTGTGGGGAACAGTCGTGGGTTAAGGGTCTTGCTCAGAGAACTAGAGTGGGTTTCAAACTCGCAACCTCATGATTCCAAGCTCTCTGCCCTAACCACTAGGCTGCCCTGCCACCCCCCCTCACATATGCAATCAACCCAGTTGATTGTATATGTGTTCCTTTGAAAACAGCCTGTAAAATATTTACAAATGCATCAGGGCAGCTGTGAACATCCCCAGATGTAACATCACCATCTGAAGGACAGCAGATAATCTTTCAGATTATTGTTGTTTTTTTCTGCACATGTGACATTTATCATATAGCTTTGCATTGGGAGGAAGATGTGAAACTTAGTCAAGTAGTTATTTGCGCAGATTCCTCTTGCTTAACTAGCATTTAAATCATCAAGATGACAAGAGCTTCTATAGTAAGTTAATCACCTTGTATATAGTGTAAGTCAAAACAAAAAGGAATGTTTAAAACCATGGGTATTCAATGCAAACAAAATTCAACTTAGGGGACATTAAGTCAAACAAGAATTAAACAATTAAATAGAAAAGCAAGGTAAAGGAAGGCGGTAGTTGTAAGAAGAGGTGGTGTAAGACTGGAGGGGCAAGAGGAAGTGTAGAAAATGCCGTTTAAGATTGAGGACACAAGTCTAAAGGGTGGTTAAATATATGATAGGGAAACAGTCATCAGAGGCCTGTGCTTATTGGGGAGAAAATGAAAAGACTGAGGTAGTTTTGGTAGAGTATACAATCAATAGGGCAAGCCTCAGGTCACATTCTAAAGTTAGAGCGCCAGGGAAATATATAAAATGTACACAACTAGATCAGAAGAATTAATTGTGATGTTATTATCCTTATTATTATTATTATGTTTTTTTGCAAATGTAAGTTGGAATAAATGTATGTTTAGTGGATTATAACTGAGTCTGGCAGATGGCAGTAATACACTGGGATGGTAAAGCCCCAAGAAAGGAAAAAGATAAAACAGATCCCCTCATCCAAAAAACAAACAAACATTAATTTACTAATAGACATTTTTAATTTGAAGAATTAAAGCATATGACTAATGAAATTATGGTTAGTACATACAATTAAGACAGATGGGTGTTTCAAGCCATCAGGCAGCAAATCCTGTTTTATGTCAATTATAAATAAAAGAACATAAATTTAGGAGGAAACCCAAAGCGGTAAAAGCATTTAAATATTTGGGACGATATTTAGGAAGTTCATATACATGTAAAACGCATATGAAATATTCAGAAACTAAAGGTAAAACAATCATAAACCTTTTGAAAACCGTGGCAGGTGACATCCGGGGTGCAGATAAGCTGCAGCTGCTTAAATATATACAGAGCACTAATGGGGTTATCATTAAGTTTATGGAATATTATACAGGGAGCTGCAGCAAAATCACCTTTACATGAAGCAGGTTGACTATAGCACAGGGTATTATATGTGTATGTACAAACAAAACTACTCTTGTTAATCAGAATTAGAAGAATGAGAAGTTTTTATTTGTCATTGTTGCTCAAGGGTATAATACAATGTTTAGCTGCTCAAAACATGCTCAACTAGTAACGATGGGGGAGACTCTACTAGAAATCAGAAGAATAAAACTTGCCCTAACATACTGGATAAAACATGTATAACTTAGAGACTCATACTACAACTACCTTAATATATCCACAGATGATTCTAAGAACAAACATTTGAGTAAACAAATAAGAATTTACATACCAGAGTTTAAAACATGTATAACTAAGCAATTATCAGATCAATTATCAGTCTGTTCAGCAGAAATGGTGGCAGTAGTACAAAGCTTACAGTGAGTGAAGGAGGTTAGACCAGGAAGGGTGATGTGCACAAACTCAAAGGTTACAGTAAATATTTAGGGGACAAGAGACATCTGAAAAGACCTACTTACTGATTTAAGACAGTTTATTTAGGTTTTAGAGGGGTGGGGGTGATGTGCATTTTGCTGGGTACCATGAAATGAAGGAAAAGGCAACAAAATGCCAGATACACTGGGTTTAAAGAGGCAATAAATAACATTATGTCCTCTGGAAAAGAGGGAGGTAAATTAATTATCAACAGTAAAGAAATGGAAATGTGGCCAAATATGTGGAATCAAGATTTAAAACAAGAAGAAATGTATATAAAATAAAAAAAATCTGTACTAATTAGAATTGTTATTGAAAGAAATAGAAGAGAATTAGCATTTCTGTGACTGATGGCAGGACTGACTTATCTAAATGACATATTATATCTGTCTAGAAGGAAAAACAATTATGAATATGAGAGGTGTGGGGGAAATAAATTGTGGAACATATGGTTTAACTGTTAAATGTACACAAATGAGAGATAGATAATTTCTGTACTAGTAAGAAAATTAGGAAAATGATTGGGTATGGAAGCAATAATGGGAAATAAAGGAAAAGGAGAGTCTGTATAATTAGGAAAACATTAATTTATCTGCTTCACACAAAATTTATTGAAGTAGTTGAATATTTCACTCCGGTGTATAGTGGGTGGCGGTAACGCACCTAAGAGCTTCTTGCAATCCACCCTGTTAAGACAGACGAAGAAGAATCCCAAGCCGCGGAAGCAGCGTGTTTCTCTCGCGATATCTCCGCTGCCGCCGTTGTCCCGTTGAAAGAGGCATAACATGGCATCCGACGGTACACCGGTCGCCGAGGCTCTCCCCTCCGAATTGGGGAACGCCATCGCGGCTTTGAATACATGGAACAACCCGGACCTTCAGGCCAAGCTGGCCGAGCTCGGAGCCCCAAACATGGGTGAGGAAAATGCGGGGAAGAAAGTTTCTCAGGCCCCGGGCTCAGCTAACTCCCCGCTAGCCAGTTGCTAGCTTGGAAGAGAGCATTAAAAGCAGTGTTGAGGTGGGCCATCACCAGGCCTGCAGAGTGTTTATATTCACATTGTACTCATTTTTTCCTTATTAACAAGTATAGGAATACTAAAGCACTAGCTGGGATGAGTTCTGATTATTTTAGTGAAGCTACCACCTCAATAGAAGCGCCTTTGCTAACTTTCAGGATGAGGAGCTGACCCAATGAAGTTACGCACGTTTGTTATTAATTATAACGCCTGTTGAATGAAGATTTACCTAGAAAACGATTCTTATTTCATGTTATCTCGCCGATAATTTCATCCACCTTCTGTCATCCAGGTCCTCGAGAGGAGCTAATTGACAGGCTCAAGAGCTACATGATCCAGGTAAGCTTTAAACGAATAATAATGTCTGCTCTCTATGAGAAGGCTGCAGGAATGGTGGAGGTTTCATTCAGTCTTTTGCAATTGGAAATAAGTTTTTTTTTTTTTCTGTGCCTGCTTGTATTTGCAGACTGGAATCGTCCTGAACAAACCAAATGATGACAAAATGGGCTCGCAGGTGAGAAATCACATTTTTATCAGTGATTTTCAAACTTTTGTCTTGGTTCAACCCCCTCCCTCTGTTTGTTAGACATAAACGGCTAAAATAAATGGGCTATTGTTGTCCATTTACTTTTTATAACAAGATTGTGAGTGGATGTGATGATTTTTATTTAATTGTGTTGTTGTTGAGGTTGTGTTACATGTTTAAAATGTTCAGGTTTTGACAAATAAGCTTGATTGGTTTAGACCAGATTAGGGTCGAAACAATTAATCGTGATTAATTGATTATTGAAATAATCGTCAACTAACTAAGTAATCGTTAAATGGAGTATAGAGACTGTAAAACATGCCTCTAGGTGACAGAACGACCCACTTAGAGCAGTAATTATATCAAAATTGCAGTGGTGTCAAAAGTACACACATTTGTTACTTAAAAGTAGAAGTATAGATACTGCAGTTTAAAAACACTCTATGAAAAGTTAAAGTACCAACTTGACCTTTTAATTCAAGTAAAAGTGAAAAAGTAGGTGCTCCAAAAACTACTTAAAGTATAAAAGTATAAAGTAACCTTTAAAAAAACAGCCAGATGCCATTATATAAACTGAAAGCTCAATTTTTGATTATTTCGAAAAATTCTCTGAGATAGGGCCAAGGATGAGGGAGGTCTTGTTGGTCTCCGTCTCCCGATACGCTCTCGCCTGTGTCCGACCTTTCAGACATTTCAACATCTTTTTCTGAATCCAACATTGTAGCATGGCATAGACAATTCATTTTTGCAGTTTGAGGAACACCTGCTTAGTTCGGATGATTTCCTTTAGCTAACCAATGAGTGTTTGCATTATATGACTCATCCAATTACACTAGATTTCACTAGATGCGGATGGAGAGAACGATCTGCATTGGATGGCGCACATGACGTGAACTAAATATTATGGAACATTAAACCGAAGCCAAGAGTAACGAGTAACGTTTGTTTTAAAAAAGTAAGGAATAGAAAGTACAGATACTTGTCTGAAAATGTAATGAGTAGAAGTCAGAAGTAGGAAGAAATATAAGTAATGGAGTAAAGTATAGATACCTAAAAAGTGTACTTAAGTACAGTAACGAAGTATTTGTACTTTGTTACTTGACACCTCTGCAAAATTGTAAAGAAAAAATATTTAAACATTTTGCATTTAAGATGAAAAACCTTTTTCTTCTGTCAGTGTGCTCTATCCAGAACTCCTCAAAAAGTTTCACCTGGTTTAATTTGGTAAAAGATCTTTTTTATGGAACCTTTTCTATCTGATAATTAATTGAAAAAAATAAGCAACAGATCAATTTGCAAAATAATTGTTACTTTCAGCTCTAGACCAGATTAGGATTAAGAAAAATGAAAAAAAAAATGTTTCTTCACAGCCTCATCATGCTGAATTAAGTTTCCTTTCTTTTGTTTTCATATTTTGCTACTTCCCTCCCTCTAGATGCCAGGGATGCCGACTATGCCCCCCATGCCTATGCCGCCAATGCCTCCTGGCATGAGCATGCTCCAACCTCTGCCTATGATGACCCCAGGAGGTCCCCCTCCTCCTGGTATCCCCATGGGAATGGACCATGCTTCTCTCGCTCCTCCAGGCATGACCCAAGAGGATCAGCTAAAGATGGCTCAGCAGAGAGCAGCCATGGTTTTACAGCAGGAGGAGCGGGCCAAACAGCAGGTGAACTTTACTCTCAGTGTTTCTCAGTATTTAATCCCAGGAAACCGATCTGTTGCAGTACAACCTAACCAAAGAAATAAAATAATCTTATGAGCATCCTAACCCAAAGTTTAACACATATATTCTCATTGGGAAGTCTATAAATGATACTGCGGCAGTTCTGTTTCTGTAAAGTTATTGTGCTGTCATCCTTTTTGAATCACATGTTAAGGAATGTCTTACAGATGTGCACATTTTCTCTTTATTTGCTTATACTTACTTTTCTATTCTCCATGATCTTTTCCTCTCACCTTTGATCAGGCTGCAGTAATGCTGGAACAGCAGGAAATGGTCCAGATGCAGACAAGATCCATGACGTCTGTCGGGGAAGTCAGAGGTTGGTTTGATCCTTTATTCAAACATATAAATTCAGAAAAACATAAGTAACTTTGCTCTATAATGGATCCTATTCATTTGAAGTTTTAGTAACTAACTTTAAGGTCTTTAGATCATAATCATTTTGTTACTCAAGTTTTATGTTGACAATACATGTGGAAGAAGGATCTCTGGTCCGATGAGACCAAAATTGAACTAAATTACCAACATAAATGGTAGAAACTGCTCGACCAGTTTAACATGGTGGCAGCATCATGTTTGCATTTATCAGATGGATGGAGTTTAATACAGGACGATTCTTTTAAAGGCGCTGGTAAGGTTTCACCTTCCCGGTGGGCAGTGGCCTTAAACAGACACCCAGAGGGAATTTAGATCACATTTTATTCTTGCTAGAACGGTTCAGTATTATTTAGATCAGAAAGGCAGGACTTTTAAAAATGTGTTTGAATATTCTACTCAAATCAATCCACTGAACTTGAGTTGGTTCTAAAGAATTGAAGAAAATAAATGTCTGTCTCTACAAGTTTAAATTTGCTACAAGTTTCCCAAAAGCAGCTTTGATTGTAGCAGAACGTGGCCCTGCAAAATTACACTATTGTTCTTTTTTGTTTAAAAAGGGTCATTAGAAACAGGTGTTACTACTTCATCAGTGCTCAGAAAAAAAATAAAATGTTAGAAATATATATTGTTTTTGGTTGGAACAGAGTATGAACATGGTTAAAGCTGCAGTGTCTAAGATTTAGCCCTATCTAGTGGTGGGCTAAATAAATCACAGGGCTCTGAAGATGCTTATGTTCACCAGCTCACTTATCTGAAGAATAAAGGCCAGAAGACACAGAATCCGATTTTGCATCTAATGCGACAGAAAATTGTGTGGGACGAGGTCGTGGCGTTTAGCGCTCATTGATAGTCAGCAGGGAAGATTTTACGCAAGGGGGTTTGCGTAGGTCTGACTGAGCTGGACCCCAGGTCAATTTTAGTTTGACTATGCCTCAATTCAGCGATAATTTCATGTCTCTGACAGGAAGAGAGACATGATTACAAAGTAAAATATATCCGCTTTGGGGAAAAATGCAAAATAAAATCTCTTAAATGCACGGCGAAAGAGTCACTTTTTATTTTATATATTTTGACATTTACCGAATGGCTTAGCTGTCACCATTATTAGTTCCATCCTGACAGCAGAGCCAATAAAAACGATGTTGCAAACAGACCTTAAGGTGATGCACCAATAACCTTTTAACTGGACAACGTGGGGAAGTTTAAATTCAATGAAAATCGTCTATCCAGCCAAGAGTTTTCTACATGGCTAAAAACAGTTCCAGGATGTGAGGAATGGCGTATTTTAAGCAAGAAGTCATTCAAGTTCGGCACGATGGGAATCAAAGCTCTGGAGTCAGACGTGTCAAGAGTGGAAAACAAAGCGCCAAAATCAAGTTACAGAGAAGCAGCAACTATTTCTCAGTTCTGTTTAGTGGTGTAAATCACATCCATCATGGCGATTCGATTCAGTATTGATTTCCTGACCCAACGACTCGATTATTTTCAGTACTCAAGAATACACCACGATACGATTCGATTAATTGAATTGGTTCTTTTTATATTTTTTTTAACCTTACACACTAGACAATGTTTCAAACTTGAAATAAATCAATGAAAGCTGTAATATCATTATGCATTTTTTTTTTTTTAGAAACAACAGCAAATAACACTGCTGTAAGAGTATAACGAGGAAGCGAGGTAGGAGGGCAAAATGGGTTTAGCGCCACCGCAATACGGGAGGGAGAATTACGTCCAGAAGCAAATGGATAGAAATAGACCGGAGGAAAAAAAAAAGATGAGTCGATACTCTTGCGGACGTATAGATGCATCAGATCGTCGGTTGTTGGATCGATTAGTCGATACAAAACGATTATTATTTACAACCCTAGTTCTGTTCCACCCATGTCTCTGCAAGGCCTCTACAGCATCTCCGACGTTACAAAAAGCACCAGTAGCACTAAATCTCTGGATAATGTTTGGTGGTTCGCCTACAATGAAAGCAGAGCTATTATGGACTTTGAGTCGGGATCAAAACAAATTTTGTGATTCATTAGTTGTTAAAAATATGTTATTAGTGTGTTTTTAGCTTTCTTACTTTTTTGAAAGTTTTTCAAAATTATAAACATTTCTACTGGGACAGAAAGTAATGGTTTATGTTAAAATAAGCATCTGGTTAAGTTGGTCTTGAAGATTTATTTGAAGGAACAAAAAAAGTCTTTCAAAATTCTTGGATTAAACTTGCCGTGTGATCAGATGTGATCTCTGTCTTACGTTTCAGCCCTGGATCCTCGAGGTCCGCTTCCTCCTGGTGTCACAATGCTGCCACCCCAGAAACAGAGGGTGCCCCCCCCTCCAGGAGAGGATAACAAGGAGGTAAACAAATGATTTATCTGTGGATGTTGTCTTTTTTCTTCAACAAACTAACACATGTTTTATATAGGCTGTTTGATAAATATATCTGAATATTGAATCGGGTAACAAAACTAAAACCTTTGTTGTTTTAGATAATCCTTTCTGCTAGGGGCTAAAACAGACCTATCTTCATCTTTATTAAAGACCTTTTTCATTTGAACCTTTTCAGATCTGGCAGAACGAGGAAATGAGCGTCGGTGGGCCTAAAATCCCTCAGGTCCTGGAAAAGATCCTCCAGCTGAAGGAGATCAGACAGGAGCAGCTCACCGATCCAACAGGTCAGTTACTGCCAATGAAACACAAACACTGATTTAAGGAGACTTCCCTGATCTTTTTATCTGTTGTTTTTTCATATTTGGTCCCCAATATTCCCACTAAATAACACAATGGGTTACCTTTTTCATTGACCCCATGTCAGTCCTTCTTCCGTTAAGGCATGCAGCTGGGATCGCAGATAAAATACAAAGTGTTATCTGTTTCAGATTATGCTGAGTAACACATGCCTCGGATTAGCCAGGACTCTGAGTGGCTCTGCTCTGTTTGCATTTGCAGATCGTCCAGCTGCTTTTCTTTTATGTCATGTGACCGTCACACTCTCTCCATCCTGTCTTATCTTACCTGTATCAGCACTTCTTAAAATATGAAAACGGAGGAAAAAAGATTAATTTATGCTTTTATTAACATCCCATAAGCTGAGTTAAAGGCCGCCTCGGCTTCCCTGTTCAAGTCTGACAGCTTTCCGTTTGCTGAGGCAGTGGATCCCATCTAGATGAAGGCTGCACAGTAAATGGTGGAGATGTCATTGTGACATCAGTGTCTGCTGTATTCATCCTGCAAAGGGCTGTTTGAAGTGCAGTAATTGCTAGCTGACATATTCCTAGGGTAATGAGTTAGAACTTTTCATGCTAATGTCACATTTAGCCGGCTGGCCTGAGTCTCCTGCAGGAAGAGGCTCTTTATAGATTAGAAATCATGGCTTTAAAAGCTTCCAGTTATAGAAGCACAGATAATAGGGAGAGGAAATAAGCTTAAATTAGCTAAATAAAATTACCAATGTTGTCAATGTAAGTTTTTTTTTTTTTTTTTTTTCTGTCCTGCAGCCTTAAGGCAGACACTGGATTGAAAGGATCTGTTCTGAACTGCTAGCGCCTGTTTATAATTAGAACTGGCAGATTTAGGTTTTATAAATATATTATGCTACCAAGAAAAATACATTTTCCGCACTTAAATCATATTGCTGTGGAATCATTGGAGATGTATTTATTTACAAATATTTTATAGCTGCAGCCTGAGCTGACATCGCTGAGGATGGATCCATGAGTGGGCTGGCTGTCTGCGCTGGAAGCAGCTTGTTTGAGATGTTTCTGTTTGAGGATGGGGTTAGTTTAGGTCATGCTTTAGCTCAGCAAAACATTTTAACTCAAATAAAAAAATCAATTATCTAAAAGTCAATAAAGTACTTCAGGCACTATGTTCGCTAACTCAGGAATTTTGCCGTATTTTTTGTCTCAGCTCTTTATGAAGGATCATAACAAGAGGATTTTTTTTTTTCATTTATCCATAACAACAAAATATAAATTAAAGCACCAGCCTGCTTTATGTCAGATATACAGCATCCATTCAGCTGGTTAAATAAGCTAGAGCTAAATCTTCAGATGGAGCATTTTATTGCAAATTTTGTATTTATAAATCTGTATAAAAATTTCAGAATAACAATACTTAATCTGGATTTTTTTTTTAAAACTCGATCAGAGGGAATTATAGAAAAATGTAATGGGATTAATTGTTATTAACCAATTATTGAAATAATCAACTCATTTAGTAATTAATCTTTAACTGGAGTTTAGAGACTCTAAAACAGGGGTCACCAACCTTTTTAAGTTTGAGGGCCACTTCAAGGGTACCGAGACTTAGGAAGGGTGCGACCATTACTGACCCATGAGCTGCAAGGGTTAGCATTAGCCTAAACTTAGTTCATTATCAACATATTTTTATTGTTTCTGTTAATTTCTAAGTTTATTTAAACATTGTCATTATGATATCTGTATAAATGATTAAAAAGAAGAGCAACAGAATAAAATAAAATTTCAAACTTAGCCCACTGGTGGGTTGTTCTTTATTTAGAAGACTCTGAGGTCCCCCCATGTGTTCCTTGAGGGCACCGTGTTGGTGACCCCTGCTCTAAAACATGCTGTTAGCTGAGAGAGTGACGAACTTAGAGCAGTTTTTATACCAAAATTGTAAAAAAGGGGAAAATAATTTAAGATGGAAAAACTTTTTTTGTTCATCAATATGCTCTATCCAGAACTCCTCAAGTGGAAAAGTTGGTTTCACCTGGTTTAATTGCTTAGAAAGTCTTATTTAAGGAACATTTTGTTATCCGATTATTAATCGATTAATAAAATAATCAACAGATTAATCAATTTGCAAAATAATGGTTAGTTGCAGCCCTACTTTAAATTGTCATTCTCCCTACAGGTGAATATTACGATGAGGGAGGAGAGATGGATGCGGCCGGTTCTGGTCAGGTGATGTCTGAGACGGAGGACGATGGCCAGATGTCCAAAAAAGATGTAAGTCCTTTTAAAATCTCTGAGAGTAAGCTCCCTTTCCATAGGCTGTGTGTTTTCTTTACATGCCAAATGTTTTCACCAGAAAAATCGCAAACGCCGGAACCGCAAAAAGAAGAGCAAGAAGAAGCGAGCGCTTGAAAAGAAGGAGGAAGCGGAGCAGCAGAAGAAAGAAGGGGACGAGAAGGAGAAAGAAAAGGAGAAGGGAAAAGATCCAGAGGTGGAGATCGAGTACGTCACCGAGGAGCCAGAAATTTACGACCCCAACTTCATCTTCTTCAAGAGGATCTTTGAAGCTTTTAAGGTGATGGCAGTAGATTATTAATTCAGACTAAACGTTAAAGAATCTCATTTGTATAATGACGTTATGCTGTTTTCCTCACATTTAGGTAACAGACGACGTGAAGAAGGAGAAAGAGAAGGAGCCTGAGAAGGCGGAGAAACAGGAGGCTGTGGGCATGTTGAGGAAGAAGGGCTTTGAGCTGGAGAGGAAGGACAGCGACGATAGCGACGAGGTACGAATGCTGTCCGCTGACACAAACGGGATTATCGTTAGGCTCAGATTAACAGCTGCTGTGTTTCACCTGCAGGAAGCCAAGCCAGATGTGCCCAAGCTGTCTAAGAAGAAGCTGAGGAGGATGAACAGGCTGACCGTGGCTGAACTCAAACAGGTGAATCCATCAAAAAGTATAAGATGAAGTGGTACACGTGCTCCTTTAGTCTAACCTAATCCTGATGGGGTTTTTTCCAGTTGGTAGCTCGCCCAGATGTGGTGGAGATGCACGATGTGACGGCCCAGGAGCCCAAGCTGTTGGTCCACTTAAAGGCCACCAGGAACACGGTGCCCGTTCCACGCCACTGGTGCTTCAAGAGAAAGTATCTACAGGGAAAGAGGGGTATCGAGAAGCCTCCGTTTCAGTTACCGGAGTTCATCAGGAGGACGGGGATCCAGGAGATGAGGGAGGCCCTGCAGGAGAAGGTTGGTGTCCCTTTCAGTCGTCTATAAACCGAGAAGATTTTCCTCTGTTAACGGGTTGTTATGTGACCGACTGTTTAGGAGGACGCCAAATCTATGAAAACCAAGATGAGGGAGAAGGTTCGGCCCAAGATGGGGAAGATCGACATCGACTATCAAAAGCTCCACGATGCTTTCTTCAAATGGCAGATTAAACCTAAACTCACCATCCATGGAGATCTTTACTATGAGGTACAGCACCTGCCTCTCTGTCCTAAGGCTGGAACCAGAGCTGCATTCATCCATGTTTTCTGTTTGGTAAATGTTAGGCTGGTGGTATTCTCATTCTATGGACAATAATAGATGCCATTAAAATAATCCGATTTTTCAGGCTCATAAAGCCAAACAAATTGACTCCAAACAGTACCAGGCTTCTCTCTTTTCATGCATAATCATTCTCAGGTTTCAAATATATATTTTAAATCCTATATTTCAGTTTGTGGGTTCAGTAATTATCTGCATTGTGTTTTGTTTTTTGCTTCCTTAGGGTAAAGAGTTTGAAACGCGCCTGAAAGAGAAAAAGCCAGGAGATTTGTCAGATGAGCTGCGGATTGCTCTGGGAATGCCGGTTGGACCTGTAAGCGCAGTAACATCACATCAAAACAACATGTCAGAGTTTATTGAGCTCAAAACTAGAAATTTCACATGAAAATTTCACCCATACCTGCAAGCATAAAGATTTGGTTGGAATACAACACCTTGCTGCAGATGTTATACCTCTTCATATCTTTCATATTTAGATCTAATGGCTATAAACGTCAATCTGTTTTATTGGGATTTTCTGTGAATAACAAATACTTGATACCATTTTCAAAAACAAGGTGATTAAAAAAAGATAAATAAGCAAAGGAATAAAAATCCTTTTATAAACATGAAAAAATAATCCTCCTTTTATAGCAAATATGTGCAAACAATACTTCTTCTTAATATTGATGCCATGCAAAATTAGTATTGTATCTAGATATAGTGTTTGAGTATTAATACTTTGTGTAGTATTGGTATTTTTGATAACCTCAGTAGCTAATCGAAGATTTTGACAAAAAAAAGCTAATTGCAATTTTTTTAACAAATATTGTAATTTTACATTTGATGCTAACATTTTGAAGGCATAAAACAAAGATTTTTAGGGAAAGATGTCGTTTCATGTAGAAAATAGTTTTGCACAATTGACACACATGAGAACAATATCCAGTAATAGATTTAAAACTTCTTCTTTGGTCCTGAAAAATCTCTCATAAATTCAGAAGAGGTTGAGGTTGTTAAGTGTTTTGATTATTAAATATCTCAGATTAATCAGGCATAATGGAAATCAAATTGAACAATTGCAAATGTATTTATTAAATATATATTTTCAATCAGAAAATGATAATTCTGCAGGTTACTATCATTCAGTCAACATCAAGCAGTTGTTTTGCATATTTTTTTTAAAGTAAAAACCAATAAAAAAAATGACAAAACAATCCTAAAAATACTGCAGTCCACTGCCAGCTGGGAAACAAACTGGTTATGATGCAGACATCTTAAAATAAGAAGTGCAGATGTGATTCTTAAGGTTTTTTTGTGACTTGTTAGTAGTTTTATAACGATCTGGCTATGGAGCAAAAACATATTTTGCATTTGGCCCTTTTTCGTTTCATGTTTTCCCAAACCCAAAGTAAGTCCAAACAGCTTATTAAGTTTGCTTAATGTAGTTAAACCCTCAATATTGATGCAATTAAGGTCAATTGTGAGGCTCTAATTTATGTTTATATAAATATCCTTTTGCATGTAGAGCAAAAACGTGAGTTTTGGTTTCATCTGACCCGAGCAGCCTCTCCCTCGTGTCGGTTTTACCCACATGGCTTGCAGCGGACTATAAATGGATCTCCTAATGACTTTATTTGAGCCGTGCATCTCTTCCGAACTCCTCTGAGTCGTTGGGTGCAGGACCAGCAGTTTCTTAAACCTGTCCTTTCTGTCGCTCTACCGCATTAAATCCCAATAAAACGCATCCGATTTTCTTGCGGTAACGTAACAAAATGTGACGCGGTACAAAGGACGTCGCTGCTTCTGTGAGGTGTGGTAGATTAGCGCTCATTAGGAGTGACAGGCGGCTGCTGGGTGATGTTTATTTCTGTCATTCTGTTTATTGCTGTGATTAATGTCTAGGCAGTAAGAATACGTGTGTTTGCTGAGATGCGCCGTGGTGTGTTCACACCCACACCTCACAAGAGAATCACTGTTAATAAAACGCAGTAAATATTTACCCATACAGCTTGTTGTATAGACAGCAGTGTGTGACAGGTGAAAATCCTCATCATATGGTGAACAAGCAGGGGAGCCTATATTCACTGTTGACTGGGCAAACAACGCTCTGTGTTTATATCTGGTCACCCTTTCATTGGCAGAACGCTCACAAGGTGCCCCCTCCCTGGTTGATCGCCATGCAGAGGTACGGCCCCCCTCCTTCCTATCCTAACCTCAAGATCCCTGGACTCAACTCTCCCATCCCAGAGGTAAAAACCTACAGCAAACTCTTAGTCGCATTTAAAACCTCCCAAACATATGGTGTTTTTTATTGCATGCTCTCTTTCATGTCGTTTTCTGCTCATCAGAACTGTACGTTTGGTTATCACGCCGGCGGCTGGGGGAAGCCTCCAGTAGATGAGATGGGCAAACCGCTCTACGGTGACGTGTTTGGAACCAACGCAACAGATTTCCAGGTCAGAACTATGCAACCCAGGGCCAGAGAATACCACACTCACCTGGTTTGGTTTATTTTTACACCCTAGTTAAAGAGAAACTATAATCAGAATAAAAAAAGAAACATTTAAATCAGAGAGTCTAGCTGCAAACATGCACTATCAGAACCAGACGTTTATTCGAAGCCTTTAAAAGTAAAAGCTAAGTTTAAAAAGAAAATAAAAAAATACAAAAATAAAGGCCAGTGTACTGAAAAAATAATAAATAAATAAATAAATATATAGATATAGATAGATAGATTAGATGAGCTTTATTGATCTCACAGCGGAGAAATTCACTCGTCACATATTGGCATAGAAGTTACAGAAGGTGCAAACAGGGAGGAAAAAGGTGCATTAAGAATAAGCAATATATATACAGTATATCCAGGTACATACAGTATATCAAGATAAATAGGATTAAGGTGCAAGTGTACATGTATCGCACAATATAATATATTAATGCAGGTCTACAGCCAGACCCCTCTTAAATGTAAAGCAAAAAAAAAAAAACACTAATTATTTATTTGTTGTTAAATATGATTAATAACATTTTTAAACCCTCAGGTGTTATTTTGGTCTCTTTAGCCTTAAACTGTATTATTGAATACAATTTTAGTTTATAACTGACTAAAGCAGATTTTTTTGCACCAGATTGTGGTAATTCTTAAATTAGATTTAGACAGATTTATTTTATTTGTCATTTTGTTTACACAAGTGTAAAACAAAAAGAAATTTCGTTAAGAACAGCTACAGGTATCTAGAAAAAGTGCAGCCTTGAAAAACAGTAAAATATATATATATATAAAAACAGTAATATATACAAATGACTGTATATTTACAGTTCTAACATTTCTGTGTTTTTTTCATATATTTATAAAATATAATGAAAAGCAATAAGATAACCCATTTTATAAAACATTCAGCAGTAATCCATCTCAGTCTAATCAAATGCTAAATAAAAACTTTAATCAATATACCTAATAATTATTAACATAACTGAGGCTTAGTTAAAATATTGAGCATTACATTTTTGTAAATATATACTGATAATTTTTCCGCAGTTTACTTTCTAACAAAAGAGAGAAAAAAACATTGAAAAAATGAGGCGAAAATAATGTTCCTCAATTATTCAAGAGCACAGAAGTCGAAATAAGATGCTGGGCTCAAATTAAAAATGCATAAAACAAGCCGCATTTAGGATGGGTTTTTTTTAAAAAAAGCATTTTTTTTAAATAGAAATATCTTTTTTGTTATAACTGACTGGCATTAAGCAATTAATCTGACTTTATAAAGAAAGTCATTTTAGAAATTAGGTTTGTTCTAAAAACAAATCTATAATTAGAGAATTTTGTCCTACATGACTTCAAAGGATGTTGGAATTATCTCTGATTATTTAAATATTTAATGTAGAAATAATTAAATATAAGATATTAGCTGCTTATTGTGTACATATGTTATGGAAACTATTTTCCTAAAAATACAGTTTGTTTTGGATGATTATTTTTAGTGCGCCTCCTGTCCTTTCAGTGGCTGACAGGCGTTTTGTCTTTATCTCCAGTCTAAAGCGGAGGAGGAAGAGGTGGACCGCACACCGTGGGGAGAGCTGGAGCCTTCAGACGAAGAGTCGTCTGAGGAAGAAGAGGAGGAGGAGAGCGATGAAGAAAAGCCAGATGAAACTGGATTCTTCACCCCAGCAGACAGGTGCTGACGATGTTAACTGATTCAAGATGTGACAAAGTGTGACTGTTCTGTTTTGGACGTTGAGGAGGGATTCTTCATTCTGTTTTTCAAGGCTTCTCATTCTTTTATCGGGATAAGCAGCAAAGAAATTGTTAAAAAAAAACAAAACACTAAAAAGTTTTTTTTTTTTTTTTTTTTAGTCTAATGAAATCAGAACTTTTAAATGCCTTTAAATCATGAAG